AAATGCATTACAGGGGTTACACATCAGTGACACCATGTAAAACCCTTAACAGCAAAAATATTAACATTCAAACTCTAATTTGAATGGCTCCAAATTACTTCATATATATATATATATATATATATATATATACACAGAGCCAGACAACAACTCTTTACTTGAAAAACTATTTAAAAACAATAAACATTTTAAGCACAAGAGCAAGCTCTACTGTTTTCTGTTACTTGCAAAAAAATCTTTTATCTTCCCTATTTTTAATCCTAAAATACTTATCCTGCAGCCTATCTTCAACTCTTCACTATCTTCACCAACAGGCAAACCGACCAAAGATTGCTAAAAGGCAGCTTTGCTGTTGGGAACAWAAGGAAAGGAATCCATTGCACTCTGTCAGCAAAGGCAGGATTTCCACTGACATAAATGGGAGAAAGACAGAGTTCCTGGGGAACAGAACTTGCAGAATCACAAGATTCTGGCAGAAGCCAATTTCATATATATCCCAAATGCTGTCTGATGTTGTCATACGGATACTGGTGTATATATGGATATACAAATAGATATTTTAAAATGCATGCAGACAATATTCTTGAACTTTCAAAAATAGCTGCATGCACAAATTAACCTACAACTTAGCTTAGTCACTGACAGGTGAAAAGTACACATTCATTTTATTGAACTAACATTTATTTGGGCATGAAACAAGCTATGGCTGGAGACACAGCTCACAGACTTCAGTTGCATGGGCTAAAAGTGATGAATTATGTTGCTTTCAACACTTTCTCTGAGACAAAAAAACTTACTTTAGAGCTCTGTATTGTTCCCCCAATGCAGCTGAGAAGTCACAGCAAAGTCACTCTTCTGATCTCAGAAAAGTGCTGTGTATTCTCTCCATCGGGGTATCCAGTGTTTTAAAGGAAAGCAGAGATCATGCAGKCAAGTCAGCACTCAGTGCAAAGGTACCTGATTCAATTTCTCCTCACTGAGACAATCACTGAATTCAGGTCTTCAGTGGAACTAAAGAACCATTTCTGTTTTGATGTGCCCTCTATTGGGACAATTCTCTTGCAAGAGGATTCCTAATTAGATCTTTACTTGATTACTATAATCTGCCCAAAGCAGAAGCAGCAACTGAGATTTTAAGGATGCAATATTCAAAACAATTAGACAAGTCCAGTAAATATTCATGTATTACTACTTAATCATTATTTTGAGAGACACCAACAAAGCACCAGCAAAGATTCAGAAGCTAAATGGAAACTAAACGTTATCTTAAGTTAAAAAAATAGACTATATTTCTATACAAAAACATACAGGGAACCTTTTGCAATCAAATATTATGATTTTAGAAGGCTCCTCCTCATGACTTTCCCCTAACTGGGCACATTGCAGACCTGGAACAAAGCCTGTCCTGGGGCATTCCTGACAGGAAGGCAGCAGTCACAAAGACAAACAGTGAGAATGGAAAGATGAGTTCAAAAAATCCAAAGTACCTGAAGGCGTGCTGAAAGGCAAAAATCTATTTCATGCAAGAAAAATCACAGTTTGAATTTACAAATCTTGGTATATACAGCCACATATAAAATACTGAGCAAATCAGGCTGATTCATGGGGAGCATGTTTCAAAATTAATAAAACTGAACAGTTCAAGAGTTAACAATACAGCTGAAATTTGTAAGTTTTAAAGAAAGTGATCTGCAGTTTAAAAAAGAATTAAAATATATGATGAGTATATGACATTTCTCCTGCACGCACAACACAAGGGAACAAATCTATTTCTTGTTTTACTCAAATAAAGCATTGATGAATTGAAGAACACTTATTCTTGCCAGGATTACWCATAAAGATTTTGACATCTATTTGCTACCAGCACTGAAAGATTAGTATATATGAAAATTAATACATGGACTCTTGCAAGCATTATTATTTTCCTTCAGTAAGTATCTAACTTGATTCAAAGCAACATTTATAAAACAAATTATTCTCTTCCCTGCTTTATTCTAGTTGTAACTYACTAAATTCAAATGTTAAACTAATACACTGAAAATGAGGTTACCAACCTGAAAGGCAAATACACACTCTTTTTTGTAATGGAAAAAAGGTTACTTGTCCAAAGCAGTATTCCTTCCCTTTTCAGTTAATTTTCAAATAATTGGTTTTCTATATATTAAATTTATGTTTCCTCAAGCATTAAAGTTAGTTTTTAATACTACATACATAATTTGTTGAAAGATCACAAACATGAACTTTTAAGATAAATTGTCCCAACCGAAGGCAAACAAAGGAAAGGAAAAATACATTTAAAAACTTAATGATCAAAATTAAAATACATTATTAATAATATTGGTTTATAATTGTTAAATATTTTCAAATTCCACTGTTACTTGATGAATATATATGCACTAATACTTGATTTTCTCGACTTTTTAAAATCCTCATTCAGCTGAAATTCTGCTTTCTTTTTGCATTTTCCCAATGTCAAACTCTGCAACTTTGCATTTGAACCTGACCTCCCTGCCTTSTACTGCAGTAAACAGGAAACGAATGCATGATAATTAATACTTCTCTATATTTTATTTTGCATTACTCTCTTCTAGTTAAGTTCCCTCCTAGCAAGCACTGGACAGTATTTTGTCACTCTGCAAGATTGATTCCAGTTGTTCTGCAGAATATGGTGTCCTCTTGTGGTCCTGGAGGTTTCCTAAACCTGGGACACGTAACTGAACACGGAATTTAGTGCTGGTGTTAATTACAGCAACACCTTTGAATGCCACTGACATTTACAATCAGCACATCACCTTCATTAGCCCCACAGTACAGAGTGCACTGAGMGAGGCAGTGAATAAACTCATCCAGGTACTGACCTGAAGGATATAAAAGCTTCAATGCCATTTCCCAAAAGCTGTAATATAATAATTTTTAGCCATTTACACAAGGGAGGCTAATTTTTACCCATTTGTTTTTTCAGCTAATAACCCTGAGGAGTTGCAAAGGATATGAAAGCCATAGATTAATGTAAGAGATACTTTTGTGAGCAGAATTCAGCTGCTGAAACTGTTCTTTAGGCTGAAGATTGTATTGATTAATCTAGAAATGGGAAGACAGCTCCAATTCTGTCAAAAGCAGCAGAACTAATATGAGAGAGAAACCACACCACTGCCTCACATCTCATCACAGGAATCTTTCAGGATTGCCAGGGATGGCACCCACTTCTTACTGTAAAGAACAGACCCTTTTTCTGAGATCTGATAAGTGGTTGTGGGTTTATGCAAGATTAAGGTGGAATTTTGGCTCAAAGCTAAAGCACCGAAAGAATAAGCAATGCAAATTTTTTAATGAGTTGCTCAACTGTTAATTTTGTATGCATCAATTGTGCAACTGAAGTTGTAACTCAATTAGTATTTAAAGTAATTAAGGATGAAAGAGTATCAAAAAAAGCTTAAAAGGCGGCTTTCGTAATTTATTGAAGTGGCTGATGCTCCATCACTTCAAAAAAGAAGAATTAGTTATATAACAAAGAAGAAAATGCCTGGTTTCCATTACAAAACCATCCACTAAAAATTAAATGAAAAATGCATGATCTTCTAATAGATGCAAACAAAAGCAGAAAAGCTCTCATAAGTACTTCCATTTCCTAAGTCAGCAGGCAATGAACTACATTAACTGGATCTTAAACCAAGCAAACAGACCTATGGATTTTATTGATAAATTTCATACATATTTATAGCCCCCCACCTATTCCAGAATACATGCATCACTGCTATTTCACACGTGCCAAACTTACCTACTCACTTTTACAAAATTCCTGGGAAATCACTGGAAGTCAATCAAAGTTACTACCTTTAAACATTCATAAACCACAGTCATTGACATCTGGATGTCAGTAAGGAATTTGTAATTTTTTTTCTAATTAATTTCTATTACTTCATATGAATCAGTGAAGATGATTTTTTCTAAAACAAAGTTGCAACAGAAATAATCAGCATAATTCTGGCATTTTAATGATACATGTATCATGGTGCTCTTAGGCCAAACACAGTGTTATGAAGATCTGAATTGTGCAGTCACTGTCAGCTGTGTTTTGATGACCACACTGATGACTGTGGTTGGTGTTTCTTAAATACTTAATGCAAGAACTCACTGATACAAACGCAAAAAAAAAAAACAAATGAAGAGAAAATCCTATCTAAAAGCTGAGGAATTTGATTAACCTTAAGAACACTAATTTAAGAACCCAGCAGTTTAGTAAAGGTATTTTTAGTCATAAGCACAATTTAAATCTCAAATATTTTACTTATGATAGCTAAATAAAATTTTCAGATAATTCCTACACTGCAAAGATAAATTACTTCAATTACTTCCCAGTCCTTATTGGACTTGTGGTGTACATTGCAATGTGTATTCAAGCTCTYGATCATTTTAAAGTTTTGATTACTAAGGTTTTAATTACAGGTTACTACGTATTTGCTACATATGTACTACAATATTAACTGTTTCATTTCAAAATCCCTATATGATAGGAAAACACAGAAAGTCCCATTTTAAAATGGTAGGGCTAAGACACAAAGATTACAGGAACTAATCACRTAAATGTCTTTAAAAACTGGTTTAAAGAACTTACAACTTCATGGACAGCACACGAAATTCAGGGAATTTAGACTGATACTTTTTGAAATTTACRGAAATATTTAATTAATTACTCAYCAGTGTTAATTGCTGGCATTTTTGRTGAAAAATGGARTAGAGACTTCATTTTACATACAGAGCTGCCCAGTACAGTTTTTGAGGRTTTCTGCATTTGTGTATGTCATCAATATTTCATCAAATAAAACTTTTCAGTAAGTGGAAAAATCAATGCATTACCTACACCAGTGAATCTGAGGCTGATAGGGGGACAGTCTATAAAAACTAGCAGGTGTAAAAACATCAAAATATTTAGGAGRCACCTCATTTTTTGTGTATGGATAARAGAGGTTTTTACTGACACTGTGAGCTCTTTCAAGTACCTTGTTTCCAATGGCCTTTTTTGGTGGGAAGTTAAAAGTCCTCACTTGCTGGTATTTATTCTGTAATTTATGATGCAAACTTCTGAACTCGGCATACCTTCGGTAGACATTCCACTCGTCATCCTTTATCCTGATGTAAACCTGCAAAACACACACAGGGAAGGGAATCATGCAAAGCCAGACTGAGTTGATGTGTGCCCTCCACTCCTCAAAGCTTCCTGGCTCAGCACCTTCCTGTGAGCACCACAAATTCCAGGATTCCACAGGCACAGCTCCCTCCTCTCTGACTCTGTGTTTGCTGTCACACAGGTCATTAACCTCATTCTCTCCTTTTTCCTTCTCCTCCTCTTTTTCTCTCTTTCCCWTATTTTAATCAAGGCAAACACAGCTTGCTCATTTTAACATGACTCTGGGGCAACCATGCCAGCACTTCTCGTTACCATGGTTTCCAGCATATTCCACTACCCAGTGACCAAAGGAAAAAATAATTTAATACCATTAGAAAATTGATTTCTATGTCCTCAACACATTTTTTAACTTTCTAAATTAGCTTTGCAGCATCAGAATTGCAAAACCTAATTTTATCCAAAGTATGAAACTTAATTTACTTCCTAACAAAATTACATTGAAAACTAAACTAGAAATTTTATTGTTTGGAAAATAAACACAGTGCATTCTTTCTGCTTGTATAGGACATTAAGCATAATTTAACACAGCTGTAGTTTTTGTGATTCTGTTTTTGTTTGCTGCTCATTATTTCATGAGCCTATTACCAATTACATGCTAAATATTCACTTTCTCTGGGAAAATGTCATGCAGAAGTGAAATATACTTAGAGAAAACTAAGATTTCCCTCTTTTCTAGGGAATGACACAGTTTAAAAGAATTCTGAAACAGCACAAGTCAGAAATTATAAACCAAGCATCGGAACTCCAGATCCAGAATGACCTTTCCCTTTGCTTCTCCAACAGAATCTGCAGTTTATTCATTCTTGTGTGTGTGTTAGTAATCCAAATATTTTATATCACAAATTCAGCTGGAACAGTACTGATGACACTACATTGCCTTGCTGCTCTAAAAAACCCCAATAATTTCGTGGTAAATTGTTACCAGGAAAACACTTATGTAAAAAAGCAACATCAACCACTATCACACAAAGGGTGAGCAGTAAYGAGTGCATTTTTGTGGAAACTAGATAAAAATAAAATTTGKGTTTTGATGTGGCCAATTTCACAATGAACTGCAGCTTTTCCTGGTAACTGAAGCATGGTCCTTCTCCTTGAGATAGTGCAAGTCCTTAAGAGAAAAAATATGATTTTACTAATGACTGGGGGTATTTCAGAGATGAAGTGAATGTCTTCTACCACAAAAGCAGCAGCCCATGCCTTGGTCTCTCTTCAGACACTTAGTTTCTCAAATTTATAGGAGGCTTCTGTCTTTGCAACAAAGTACAATATACTATAGAGATACCATGCAATTCCTGTCAAATTAGAATATCTCAGTGTAGAAAATACTAATATACCTCCYACAGGAATTCTGTAATTCCAAAAAAGGAATACTACTATTCCAAATTTAGCACATCTAGAACTCAAAAGATTCAGAGCATTGTGTGAATTACAAATGCATATGTAAACAAAAATTCACCTAGTTTTGGTAACAAGAATTCAGATAGTGTCATGATGGAMCCACAATAGTAAGTCTGCAAGAAGTATTCAGATTTCTTTTTCCCTTTGAAAATAAAGCCAGGATAATTAAACACCTACAGGACCATCTGTTTTAACAACTGAGTACACCTTTGAAGRCAAATGAAGGAATATATGAAATGCAACAATTTTGCATAATTCTAATCAAATTTATTTMATGTAGTAAAAACTATATTAAAATCTTTATTCACCCAGCTCTAACCCTTCTCCCTGCCTATTCTCACTTCAACCAGTACATTGTTTGGAATTTTGTATACATTCCCAAGATTCATGTTTCAATTTCCCTGTGGGGGGTGGGGATGACAAAAAAAAGCTTAAATTATTTTTAACTACGTTATTTAATATGGAAATCCTAATTTAACTAAGYAGTTATCTTTGCACATGTGATTTGGTGAATCATGCAGTTCAACATTACCTGTTAAGCTGTAACCCACAGTTAACTAATTAAGGAATCCTGTACACTGCAATTGAAATTGTTCAGGACTGCAAAAACACAGATTAATTTCGTAGTTAAAACCATTGGAAAATTTCTTGCTGTTCTTCTATGTACAGAGATATTGATTTCATTTAGACAGCAAGAAATGAAAATGCAACATTTGGAGCCCTGTGCCATATTGAATTTATTGACAATCAACTAATAGACTATGAAAGGTATATTAAAGCTCCTGATGTAGCACACATTCAAACTTTTATTATTTCAGAGGGGAATACTATTCCCAAGGCATGGGATTGCTACACACTTAATGCAAATTCATTTGGGAAATCAAACTAAGCAAATACTATATATAAAATTATTTGGATAAACCGATCCTACTCTAGTCACTGAAGGCATATAGTTATCCTAAGATCACATTATAGGGACTTGAAAGGACTACTCTTAGGCTCATTCTCAGATCAATTTAAAAGATCARTTCTAAATCATTGCATTTCCTTTCTACTGCCCTGTTTTTCCTGATATCATYCACTTCCTAACCTATTTAAGTAATTTTCAAGGTAATGAAAGTTTCCAGACTAAATCAAAATCACCACTAGAATGCTTATTTGCTTGTAGACAAAAACTTCACTTCAATATTGTCTTAAATATAAAAAAATTAATTAACTTCTTGTTATTTAGGAGCTCTTTCCATTTGAGTCTCTTGTGTAAAGATTGATTGGTAATCTTTCTGTAGCTATGATTTACAGCAGCGCTAAGAAAAATTTCAGTTAATAAGTATGTTTAATGAATTAGTCTGTTATTTTCTCATCACAAACATGTCTGAAGTCAAGGATTTGGAGAGCAATAGCAATAACAGTAGYAATTTCATATTGTGTTTATCAATCTACTACCTACTAACTGAATATTACTGAAATGCCGAAAATCTTATGAGAATCAATTTGAAAGCACGAGTTTGATGATTGCATACTGAAATGAAAAATCCTACTCCCRTGGTACTGGGGTTTGAGCCAAAWGTTTCTTAATAGGTTAAGAATCTCYAAGCAGTTCTGAGTCAAAAATACTGTTAGCAAGTCCTGGTAACAGACTGGTAGCAACTGACACAGTTCATCACCACTTATGTATAAAAGACTGAGGAAAACAAAGGACAAATGCCAAAATTCCAACTTGCTCCAGTTCCAGTGTACAGAGACCAAATGCCTGTAATCACTCACCCTTCAGATCTGCACAAGTCCCATGTGGCTGCTTTTCTTTTTTGATGCAAAATATAGATTGGTTTATTGAGGATTCCCTCCAGTCCAGTCAGCACAAGAGATACTGACTGAGATATTACAGAACCTTCTTCTCTTGCAATGACATCCTTGGCTGTAGAATCCCAGATTAAACATCAGGAWGGATATTCCCTAAACAAAGTTCCTCGTGAATCTTCCCTGCAAATGTGGCTCACGTTTCCTGGAAGGATGGTCTGAATTCATAATGAAAAATGAATTCCAGACAGAGAACTCTATTGATGGGAGCTCCACRAATACAAAAATGCTGAAGTCAAAGTCCTTGGGAGCCCATGGCCCCCCATTCCAGAGGCAATTAAAATATCTGAAAGGGAGGGGACAATGCTAATGGAAGGTGAGGAGTGAAAACTCTGCTAAATCACATATAAAAATGGCACAAGATGCAAGAGAACTCAGGATATTTCCATGGCAGAACACTTCAAAAGACATAAAGAACCCTGAAAATCATTTTTGACTTTTAAATAACGCTAAAAATTTTAGAGTACCATTGGTCCAGAGTTTTCCACTTTGGATGATACAGGTTTTTTAATTCTTAAAACTCTGGTTCAACTTTAATGCACATCTCAATTATTCAGGAACATAAAGTCCAAGAGATTTTGATCAAGTTTACCATTAAGAAATAATTGTTTTCAGGGGATTGGAATTATCTTTTCTTCCTCTTAGAAAAACACACTATGAAATAGGAATGATGTATTTCAATCTGCTTAGGATGGTTTTATCTGCACTCAAAACATAGAAGAAGTAAAAGGTATTAATCAAAAAAAATAAGAACCAGTTCCATTTCTTGACTTCACTTCAGGACAACGGGATTCTGTTAAGAATATAAATTCAAGCCCAATTCTCCAAAGTTACCTCTGAAGTGTGAGAAAGGAATATAAATGCAAGTTACATTTGAGACAGTTGCAGGCCTGCATTTATGGTTAAGTCCCCCCTTTGAAAATGATTCAATTTAAGAATTTTCTGCACAATGAAAAACAAATGAAACAATGAAACTTTTCAGCTGTGATAGGAGCAGCTTTTTGTGTGCCATAGAGACATAACAGGAATTAGAGTGAACAAGCTTTAATTTCAATATGACCATTTTATCCACTTGCACAAAGACTAAAAATACTAGAATATATTTTATGTTAAATCTTCAAGTTCTTGTTATTTAGTTCACAAAAATGAGCGATACAGTGTCAAATACATGACACAGTGCACATCAAAGCATGAACCTTAAAAACTGCCAATATTGCTCCACTAACCAGAAAAATGTCACCCATTTTAGGCTTCTCCACTGCATTCCAGACATGCAGAGTAATGTGCACTGTGCTTCTGCAGTCACAGTTTTGCTTCTATTCACCAAAGCAGCACTGAAGTGACTGCCCACTGAAGAACAAAGGCAGCATTACCTCCACTTTTGCTGCATGGAATCAATATTTTTTTGTCTTTTTATATATAAATCAAATCAGCACCAAAAAAAAAAAAAGAAAAAAATCACTCAATAGCATAATAAGCTCCTTTTGACAGTGAAATATGACTTAAAATAACCTAMGGTAATTAGCATCATTTTACAAACATGCACTTTGAACTGATACAGTCATTGTAATGCATGACAACCACCGCAGTGAAAGAAGTTTCTGCAGAAGAGAAAATAGGTAAAATGACAATAGTGCTGCCTTTTTCTCCAAATAGAATATTTTGGGTGCTCAGGCAAGGGAAAGGAGGTTATCTCAT